TTGGTATTTGTGAATATTTAGACACTGATACGAGGCTAACCCTGAGTAAATGAGTCTGAAATCAAGGAACACAGCGGTAATTTGGCACTCGAAAAATGGTCTTTTGAAAAGCACGCTGATTAATTTCAAAATAAAATTTTCTCTACATTACCTGGCTCCATAATCACGAGCTCCCATGCACGTCCCAGCACAATCTTTGAAATTCTTTTTCAGTTTGCGCCAGCTTTGGCATTTACCACATTCGTCCACAAATGAAGTGTTACATGTATTTGCACAGTCGCGCTTTGGTTTACTGACTCCGGTTTTGCCACCATAACAAATGCCGCACTCTAAACAAAATATRAAATATAAAGTAAATAGTTTTAATGGACTACTTCGAGGATACGGTGTGCATCTGGAATTGCAAGGCATAATGGGGCGTCCACGGGGAAATGAAGCTTTGTTACACTAATGATGTCGATTGATATTAACAGCACACCTATGGTTGGTTTTTCTAAAGCAATACTGACCTATCTTGGCACCAGAATTTGGCGCTCCATCACAGTCTACGCATTTATTGATCCCATTACAAACACCACACAAATCTGTTGTGGTCTTGGACCCCGGCATGTCGTTGCATCCAAGACGGGTTGCAATCATCGAGCTTGTGTTGTTAGAAAAACGCGCGCTTGAAGTATTAAACTCCACGCAGTGTACTCCTGAGGTTCTGTTATCCTTGCCTTCCCACGCGTGAAAATCCAGCCGTGTGAATTCTTGAGCGTCTGCGTTGTTCCAAAGCAGGGATCTGTTCCTTGGTTCGAATTTCAAGCGATCTCCAGGTTTGATTAACGCCAATGGCTTACACGATTTTTTGTCCTGTCTCAAGTCCCGAAACGCCTTCTTCATGGGTTCCCAAGAAGAGGCCCCTTGTTTCTTAAAGAGCCATCTTCCAAGGGTTTCATTACGAATGCTCGGTGAAGAGCTTAGAATAGCCATTCCTAGCTCGTCGCCATCGTCGTCTTTAGCGCATTTTCTTTTATGGTAATTTGCCATTCTTTGCTCGAATTCTGGTAAGTCGTCAATGAGTGCATCTGGATTTAAGCCTTGCAAGAGAAGAAATAAATAAAACTTTTTWAAAAATATGAGTGGAAAACGATGCAGCAGATTCTTAGCCTATTTAACCGCACCTTATCTTACTGAGCTGTAACAACGCTTTATGATTGGATGAATATTACTAGAAGACAATTGGATTCCATTATGTATTTTAATGTTACGGCATGTCGCACCACGACATGTACATGCTGTAGGCCAGTAATCTGATGAGTTTCCCATTCATGCAATGACCGCTCTACGCCATATCATACCATGCACATGCTTTGTGTCAGTAATGTACGTTTCCTATTCATAAAATAACCGCTCCACGGCATCTCGTGCCATATACATGTTGTAAGACAGTGTTGTTTGTTTCCCACCAATAACATAACCACTCTACGACATTGTCGTACCAATGTGCGTGCTGTAAGTCAGTATCTTTTGTTTTCCACTAATGTGAAAACCACAGCGACTAGTACTCTTTCGCAGTTATTGTTTAAGYATATTATTGTGCCTATAATGGGCTTTATCCTATCAAATAGCCAACGGCGCTTGAGTTAGTGCTTTTGATTGACGGCCCCGACACGACAAGCCAATGGGCGATAACTACTGATTAATTTGCTTTCTGAGACTGTGGCAGTCTGTCCACGATCAATCTACACTGCACCATCGTGCTAAGAGGCATGGTGCATTAATAGCGCGGCACACCGGCCGTCTTTGCTATAGAACTTTTCTGAGATTTGGAACATTGTGCATTGTGGTCAAGCTTCGGTACAAACGTCTCATCTACATCATGTCTTATTTGAAGTTGTTTTTAAAGCTAGACCACAATGCATCAGGTTTACTGAACTCATAAAATGTCGTGCACTTCACGTTTACAAAATGCCGGATTAACAACTGAACAAAAATGTCTCTCCTACCGTTCGCCATGATTTGTCGTAGGTTATCACTTTTCTTTCCAAAAATGAGTTTCCGAACAACATTTTGATCAACTTTCATTAACATGAACACTGGAACCCCAGCTTCGTACGTGGCRTCGAGGCGGTTTGGAATGGGTGGAAAGAAGACGCGAGACTGTTCTATGATTGGCTGGTCGTCCACGGGCAATATGTGTATTAGTAGTTTAATTTCTTGCTTGGAGTACAAACATATTTTAGAGCCATGAATCATTTCACAGGGTGTCTGAGAAAATACATTAAAAAATAAGATTATTATTATCATCTTGATCATCCACATCATCCACATCATCATCATCATCCACATCGTCCACATCTTCATCCACATCATCATCATCCACATCATCATCATCATCATCATCATCATCATCATCATCCACATCATCATCATCATCATCATCATCACCATCATTATCATCCACATCATCCACATCATGATCATCGATCATCATCATCCGCATCGTCCACATCATCATCATCATCATCATCACCATCATCACCATT